CGAGAAGTGGTTTAAGCTTCATATTACCACTAGTATTAGCTCCCAAAAGTAACGTCAATCGGTCTTTTATGCCCAGGAACACTTTTTTCGTGATGTAGGTACGGTTCAGCATGCGCTTCCAAAACAAACTAGTTTTGTAACAATTAAATATTTGTTGTAGACAATACCCTTCTTTTTCAATGAATTCTTGAAATTTGAGACGGAACTTCTCAGCCTCTTCTTTATCTGCACTATCACCATGCATGACCACATGTTTAATGCCAGATCTCCTTTTAAACTTTGCAAACCAGCCAGTGGTAGCCTTGAATTCTAGATTTTCGGATGACGAACCTGGGGTTTGTTCTTTCAATTTCTCAAAAATTTCTCTAGCCTTCTCTTGAATGATGGCCATACTAGTTACATCTCTTTTCATCTCCCGTTCATTTATCCAAACTGAAAGCAAACTCTTCATTTTTTCATGGATGGCACTTCTTTGCTTCTCAGATGTAATTTTCGTTACTCCTTTAGCGGCTTGAGTCTTCTTGATGATATCTTTCTTAGCTAGGATTGTGCCTGCAGTAGACCTGCTCAAGCCTTACTGCCTAGCAACATCAGTCATTCACATTTAATTTGTCCACTCTCTACTTTAGTTATAATCTCTTGCTTGGTTTTTATGGTGAGCACAGTTCTTGACACTCCACTCTTTTTAAGTCCCATAATATTGTCAGATTTTAAGGTTTTTTTTTTTTTTTAATAAGGCGTTTAGAGAAGCCCATATGAAAACCACAAGGACAGAAACCAACTATGGTACAAAATTGACAAAGTGTCGTCCTTCACTACCGTACGCATCATATGGTGCTGCCTCACTGCTACATAGTATGAATGATTACGTCCATTTTCAGGATGAATTGAGGACTGGTGTTGGGTGTTCCGAGAGCCGAGAGGTTTTTATTAGAATTAGTTTTTGTTCGTTATCCGAATATTAATCGCTGTCCGAACACAAAAATCTTTCCTGAAAGTGTTTGTTGTCTGATTTGTTCGCTGTCTAAACTGTTCGTTAACCGATCACCCACTGTATTAATATACTTTAACATAAGTTCCATTAGTTGCTCAGAGAGTATGAAGTTTATTTTTAATTTCTCTCTAGAGGTTGTTAAGCATTTGCAGAGTCATAATTGCTGTATCTGTGGTGATTTAATTTTTAAATTCTTCAATGCTGCAAATGTCTGCAGCATAAGCTAGTCTCTTCAGGTATCCCCAGAAAAACAAATCAAGTGTTATGATATCCAGAGAATGGGATGGCCATGAAATTGGTCCACCTGTACCAATTCAATGATCTAGGAATGTTTTATCAAGGAACACATACACACACACACACACACATATATATATATATATATTATATATACATGTGTGTGTGTATGTGTAACCCAATGACAGAAGACCCCATCCTGCTTGAAAAAGAAAAAAAATGGCTGCATTTCTTCCAGTTGCAGTACTGAAAATTATCTCAGCATATTGAAGTAATCATCTGAATTAATTGATGATGCCAAGAAAAGAAGGGACCAATCTCTTTGTTATGAGTTAATGTGCATCAAACATTAACTTAAGGTTTACCTCAGTTTCCCTTACAGAGTGCGGATTTTCGTGTAACACCAAATCCTGCCACAACATGATTAACCTCTCCTCAAACATGAAATGTTGCTTCGTCACTGAACATGATTTTCTGCGAAATTGATCATTGCTACTGGTACGGTCAATAATGTCAATAGAACATTCCTTATAAATGACTCAATCAGTAGGTTTGATTTGTTGACATATCTGCAATTTAAATGCAGTCAGTGTCAACCATTCATAAACAACTTCCTCAAGACCTCCTAGGTTGAAGAAATGGGAGGTCTTGTTTGCAGGTTGACACACTGAACAGTTTATTAGGATTGCTTACAGACACATCTCAAATGGCAAAAACATTTTCGTCACTGACACTTGGCGTACCTGCACTTCCTCTATGCAAAACAGTGGACAACAGAATTCTTATAATTCTCAGGAATGAAAACAGAATTCTTATAATCTTCGTATTCTGTTGTCATTCCTTTCTTTCCAACAATTAGCAATAAAATTGCACATATTTTACAGAAATTTAACTTTCAGGTCGTTTATTCTCCTATGAATAAAATTCTGAGTTCCGTACTTTAGGACCCCATTCCGGATATGAATTCCTGGAGTATTTACAGGCTTCCTTGCCAGTGTGGTTTAATTTACATTAGTCAAACTAAAAGAGCCTTAAAATTTTGTGTGAAAAAACATGAGGCATATGTTAGGAAAAAGGAAACACAGAAGTCCTCTGCTACCCAGCATTATTGGTTCGAAAATCATGATTTCCATATTTCTGCAGCCAAAATTATTCAAAAAACATCTTCCATTGGTGAATTAGATTTTCTAGAGGTGTTTCACATTAAAAAAAAATATTTCTAGTCTAGTTAACAACCCTAATTCTGATTCATCTTTACCTTCAGCCCTTAAGGAAATTATGTTTTAGTGTTATTGTTTTATCAATAGAATGCACCAGTAGCTTAACTCCTGTCCAGACATTCTTATCTTGTTCATTTGCGCTTTGGCAGCTGAGAATGATGGTTTGGTAAAACCATCGAAACTTGTCGTGTGAAAAATTGCAAATATAAGGCTGATTTTTTTTATTTGGCTTCTAAACTAATATTTGTTCAGCATGTTATTTTTACCTAAATCGATGCTGTTACGTTATTAATCACCTGTATGACTCAGTAAGTACTGCCAACAGCAGCTCTAAGCATAAGTATCTTAGATGTAAACCTAAGGTGCCAGTTTCTGGAGAATGCCAGCTAAGTACAGGGTTCATACAAGGCTTATAAGTCCTGATATTTGAAAATAAAATATAAATGCCCTTATAAGTGCTTACTTTTTCTCTAAAGCACTTATTTTTTGCTTTTAGTCCCCCCCTCCCCCTTTTTTTTTTAAATGGACGCGCATTTTTTTCCCCCAAATCAAAGCCGAAACTAAATTTGCCTGTGAAATGAGGTGAGGTTGAGTCTTCAATCTAACAGCTTTTACTCAGAAGTTATTAACCCTACGGGGTAGGTCGTAGTGAGAGTGGACTTTATTTCTGGAAGTGTGTGGAAATTCTTGAGTTTTAGTTGCTTGCTAATCTTCCATAGTGAAGATAGATGTGGTGCCATCTACTGAACATGGCAGAAACTATTATAGAAGTAGTCAGCTATTGAGTCACCATCTATTGGTAGGAAGAATAAGCATAATTTTGAAGAATCTGAGCAATTGAAGTATGGCCTAATCTAGATGAAGGTAAAACAGTGGTCTCTTAATAAATACTGAATTTCTCATATTTAAATTACAAGTCTGATTATTCTTTTAAGGGTATGCAGTTGTGTACAATGTAACTAGACAGGTGCTTTTTTTTCCGCTTAAAATGTGCTTGAAAGGGCTTAAGGTGCCTATTTTTTAAACTAAAATGTGGCTACTAACCCTGTAAGTAGTTCTTGCAAGTGACAGCTAAACTAAAGTTATATCTCCTTTTGAATTATTAATACATTAGAACTCCAATTATCCAAATCAATTTGGATCGGAACCCATTCGGATAATTGGATTTTTTCCGAAGAAAAGGTCCACATACACTTTAATTAATTACTGTATATTAAAAATGGGAAGACATTTTTTAAGAAAGTGTTAATTAAAATGAAAGGGCAACACTTTTATGTATATGTTATATAGCGTACTGTACTGTACTTACAAGTGCTGAAATTCATTGCTTGCTGAAAATCTCGGTTAAGGTAAGCTATTAGACTGTCTTTGTCCGTTTCTGGCCAGTCAAGTCGTGTGTTCGCTTGACAGTGAGAATTTGCATGTGGTCACACTCGGGCTGACGCTTCATCCACTTCAACACAATTTCAAAGCCGGAAAATGATTCACTAACCGATGGTCCCGTGTCTGCTTAATTTTGACAGTAAGGTCATCTTCTTCCTCAATACATTCTTCTCTTACATCTTCAATAAGTTCATCATCATTTAGAAGTTGAAACCCAGGGTCTGTCAAATCACACACCATCCATTCTGCTGTATTCTCAGCACTAACTTCTGAACATTTAGGAATTTTCAAAAGAATGTTTCTTAATTCCTCAAGTGACATGTCATCCTCATCTTTTCCTGTCGCCCACCAGCGGCCGAGCGGTAAAGATGCTGAACACTGGTAGTTCGGTCCGAGGTTCAAATCCCGCAAACCGGCTGGCTGCATGGGCGTTCTCATGCTTTCCCCATGTGTAACGTGTATACGAGCCAGTTTCCCTTAGAAAATCCTCCACATCCCTCCCTTTAGGCAGATAGCTCTCGTGTGCTAATTGAATAACCCAACCCTTTTCCTGCTCTTCAGGAATTCTGAAAGCGATCCGGGTAGTCAATGATTTGGATAGATGGAGTTAGGATAATTTGAGTTGTACTGTACATTTAATTTTTACAAGATGTCAACTATATTGATCACCTATGACAACAAAAATGCAGAAGCTGGGTTTTAGTACTGGCACAATATGAATCGTAAGATCTTTATCATTTATAAGGCCTGACAATTAGCCAATTTCCAGAATATTGCCAGTCAGCATAATATATCTTTTATAATATAACTACTTAACTAATTGAAATGATTTAAAACATTAAATGCCATTCTTGATATTTCAATCTTTATTTTACCTTTAATAACTTAACTAATTGAAAAAGTTTATTTATAATATATTCAGTTAAAAATTAAGAACATTTGTAGCAGTATAATAATTAATGAATAAAAAGTGTTTTTAATTCCATGTATTAGGAACCTCAGTACAAAATTGTTTGTATCTTTCTTTTGGGGGGGGCCTAAGTTTTCTGTAGTTTTGTGAAGTTTAACAAAAATGTGTTCACTTTTGTATATGTAATTACAAAAAGTTAATTTTATTTTTGCTTTATCTTTTTATATTAGCTCTCACCCTCTCTTTTTTATAATAGAACAACATTGTAAATCCTGGTGTCCAAAAATACATTTTAATCATCGTTGTTTTACTGGACCCTTGCTCAGTAAAAGTCGTTTAGCTGAACTACCTCAAGCCATCGGCCCTGGTCCAGTGCATTTAGTCATGAAAGAAGTATTAACTCGGGTTGTCAGCATAGCTTACAAACCTAGTCGTGTTCTTCAGATTTTACAAATCCATGGGAAACCTTCTCAAGGCACACAGCAGCAAGTAATTAAAGCTAAGTAAGTTAACAATACGGTGAAGTATATATTAAAATAAGAAACGTACTTAGTTTAATATGTAAAAAATCAACAAATATGCAAAGCAGGCCAAAATATCTATACATTACTTTATACATTCATTATAAATAGTCTTTTAAGCAGTATTTTTAAAGCAATGTTTAACTGCTTCATTCTGAAACTGCAATAATATGCTTTTTAAAATGTATGTCCACATGCTGAACATATAATTTAGGGGTTCCTCATAGCACTAAATAAATTTATTTTATTGTTAAAATGCTCAAAAATTTGGGGGAGTTGTAGAGTTATATTTTAGAAATTGAATGAAATGTTTTTGCCACCAAAGTATATTCAATAATGCAGTACAAAGTCTGTAATCTGGAATGATCTATAATCAGGACCTCAAAGCTACAAACTTTACGTTTACACATATGCTCTTGCGTTTACACGTGCGTATAATGCATTTACGCATGAACGTTTAATGTATAATGGATGGTATAAGCTAGGCTAAAATTACCTAAGACATTTCATTTAATGTTGAAGATTGCGCTGTTTCTTAATCTTCTAATTGGATCTGGCTTATTATTTTTTGCAGACTGTTATAGCAATTTTATAAAAATTAAGCTTGAACTTTCGATTATATCAAAAAAAGTTTCCGATCCTGGAACTGCCAAAAGATCTTCAAAGCGAAAGTGGAATTTCTGAAAAAAATGGATAAAGGCCTATCGGTCTCAAAATTATGCGAGAAGTATGGCATTGGAAAGTACACTATATATGACACAAGAAAAAGGAACTTTTTGAATTTTTTGCGAAAGCATTTTAAACAACTTGCATTGAAAGAAATGTTTAATAAAGTAAACAAATAAATATTAAGCTTTTTTTGTAAATTTTGATATCCTTTAGATCATAATTGTTCTTTATTTCATATTTTTAATTGTATAATTTCTGCATGCTATCTTACCAGATTTAAATTGATGATCTATAATCCAGAAAAACCCCTAATCCGGAATCGCCGAAGTCCCGACGAGTCCGGATTACAGACTTTGTACTGTATAGTATTTAAAATTAACTTTAATTTTCAAAGTACAGACAATCCATATTTCTGTATTGCACATTTTTTTTTTTTTTTTTTTTTTTTTTTCCCAAACTTGTGTGCTACTTTCCAGAAAGGGTTTGATTTTTAGTATTATTCTGATTTACTTAAATTTTTAATTTGTGACCATTTTTATGGTATGTTAAAAATTTAAGAATCTATGATGCTTTAAAAATAAGAAAATTGCATTTTGATTTGTCTTTATTTAACCTAAAAACTTAGTTCATTTTAAGAAATATGAATATATGTGTTTCATTGTTTATAGCAAGTGTCTCACATATAGAGTCCGGTTCATTTCTTTTAAATACTGCTAAGAAGCTAATCAGACTGTTTAATCACAATTATCAGTAAGCATAATTGAATATAAAAATTTAGAGTTTGAAAATAACTGACTTTTTTCAAGAAATCAAAATTTTTTGTTACTTGAAATTGTTTTCTGCTTCCTTCGGTTTTGACATATTGAAAGACTGTAACTGTTATCATTCATTGAGCAAATTCAGAAAAGAGAAACTTAAAAAATAAGTTGATGAAGACAGAACAGTTAAAATTTTGAGATATACTAATTTACGTTCTTAGGATATGAGGATTAAAATACAAATTATTAACTAAGTTGTGAATTTTTATAAATAAGAAAGGTATAAAAGTTTTTTCAGTGAGGTTAATTCTAAATTATTAAGAATGTATATGGACTTAGTATTATAGTTTTAAACTTTGGGCATTTTTATTCTTGAAATTTTTTTCTTTCAATTTTACTCAGTAAGTAGCACTGTGTATGGGTCTAGGGGTTAAAAAGAAAACTTGTTTTTCTAAAATATTAGGAAAGTTCATAGAAGTACAAAGAGAGAAGGTCAATGGTGAGCAGTTGGAAAAATTACTCAGAATGGCAATAAAGTATGTGATGTTATGTTAAGTATCAAATATTTGTGGATGTTTTTTGAAATACACTGCAACTTTGTGAATATAAAAAATTAAGTCTGAATGGGCTGATAAAAATCCTGTCTTATACCAGTTTTAATGAAACGAAAGTTTTAATCATTTGTTTTCTATTAATATTTACCAATTTTCAGTATAATTTAGATGTGCAAATTAAAATAACTGAAGACTAGCATGCCAAATTTTGTAATTAATCGCATTTTACCCTGTAGTAGTGACCAACCCCACAGACATCATCTTTGAAAGTAGCTAGTACTTCTGAGAGCATAAATTAACAACAGTATTGAATATCACCTTCTATTTATTGGAACAATAAGTTAGATTGTGTTTACAGACAATCAACCAGAAGTGATACTTTACTTTAAACATTGTTATTTAAAACATGGTATTGACTGGAGGTCATATGCTGGTCACATCATATTTTTTTATTGTTGCATGTAGTAAACTATTGCATAATTTTGGATTGATTAATCTGAAGGTGAAAATTCACTATACTTCTGCTGAGCTTGAAAAACAGCCAAAAAGGGTCTCAGCATTAATTGTGTAGTCTGTGTGGAATTTCAGAAATTACATGCATCATGGTCTTTTCTTTATTGAGCTAGTATGTTGAGAGAACTTGGAATTCTACTGTCGTAAGTGACTCTACTTGGAATTGTACTGTAAGTGGAATTTCAGAAATTGCATGCATCATGATCTTTTCTTTATTGAGCTAGTATGTTGAGAGAACTTGGAATTCTACTGTAAGTGACTCTTCCCTGCTGGAGCGTGAGGAGTTAGAAAATACAATTCGTTCTCTACCATCTAAGAAGGCCCCCAGACCAGATGGTCTTGATAATATTATCATAAAGATACTTTTCAAAGAATTCCCCCAATTGTTGTTATCTTTATATCGAGCATGTTGGAAATTAGCTTTTATTTCCATGACAGATGAAAATTGCCGAAATAGTTTTATTTGGCAAAAAAAGGTAAAGATCCTGCTATTTTGTCTTCTTATAGACCAGTGAGTCTTCTTTCTTCTTTAAATAAACTCTTTGAAAAATTAATATTGAACAGACTAAATTATTTTCTAACTGAAAATAAAGTGATCAGCAACTTTCAATTTGGATTTAAAAAGGGGATTTCAACTGAAATGGTTGTTTCTAATCTGCTGAACACAGTAAAAGACAACAGGGATGGTAACAGGCACATGTTAATCATCTCCATTTATATATGTGGTGCATTTGACACGGTCTAGTGGCTGGACATAATTGATCCATTGGATAGCGCAAACTGCCCTGTAGAAATTTGGAATTTAATTCGAAATTATTTGGAAACAACGCAAAATTCAATTAACCCTTGTTAATGAAATTTTAATAAAAGATTTGCAAAGAGGCTGTCCACAGGGTTCCTGTTTAGGACCAACCCTGTGGAACTTAGTCGCTAATACGGCCTTTGGTATGTTTGAAAATACTGAACAAGTAACTTTGCAAGCTTATGCCGATGATTTTCTGTTAATTATCTCAGGCGTAAAGGACATTGAAGTAAGAGCTCAACAAGCGATTAATAAGTTTGTAGAGTGGGCAGACATGCATAAATTAAGAATTTCCGAAGAAAAAACTACTATGTTGTTTATCGGTAGGAAAAGAAAAATGCGTCGAAATCCGTCTATAAAAATCCATGGAAGGCCCATAAAATGTGCAAACACCTTGAAATATTTAGGCTTTGTTATCAGCAATACGCTGTCTTGGTTTCCACATGTGAAACATCTTAAACAGAGATGTGCCGTTCTTACGAATGGCATGACAAAGACTATGGGCCTTAATTGGGGTACTTCCCCAAAAATCTTGCGGCTGTGGTATAAAACAATCACTGAAAGAGTTCTTTTGTACGGAGTCTCCATTTGGGGTTCTGATATGAACAAAACTATGAGTGGCTTACTGAATTCAATACAGAGGCATCAGCTATTACTTATTTCCAAAGGTTATAGAAACAACCTCGACAGCCTCACTGCAGATTTTGGCGGGTATACCTCCATTAGATCTGCAGGCTCAAAGAGACTCTTTCTTAGGACGGATCCTACGATTACGATTGAATGGGGATTTATGGAACCAACATCACCTAGTAAATGATTATGAACTACGGGTTCCATCTAATCTTGGCCATCCTGCCTCTTTAAAACTCAAATCTGCAGTCAATTTATACTATACGGCTCCAGTAGCCAATGACATTGCTCTATTTACAGATGGTTCTAAAACTGAACGTGGAACAGGTTGTGCATTTTGTGTATTTAACAATACTCAAAAGGTATATACATGGACTCGAAGGCTTGATGACAGAAATACTGTTTTTCAGGCAGAACTTTTAGCGATAAACGCTGCTCTCACATATGTTAAAAGAAATCTATCGGGCAAGACTAAGATCTTCAGTGATTCATTATCTAGTCTGCAGGCTATCTTAGACATTACGAATAGAAATCCGATTGTACAAGTTATTCAAGAGAAATTGCTAAGATTTAATTCATCTGAAAGACCACTTCTTACCTGGGTGCCAGCTCATGTTGGCATACTCGGCAACGAAGAAGCAGATACTTTAGCTAAATGGGCTGCTAATGATATCAACAGAATTGAAAATCCAACGAAATTGCCTTTTTCACAGTTGAAGAGCAAGACTTTAAATGCACTGCTTGTGAAATGGCAGGAAAGATGGACTAATGACTCCACAGGAAGACGAGTCTTCTCTTTCTTTCCAAAAGTTTCACTCAGTCAAAGAAGCACATCGAATTTTTATACTCAATTTTTCACTGGTCATGGACCTTTTAATACATATCTCTTTCGATTTGGACTACGTACGACTGAGCTTTGTTCTTGCGGGGAGTTGGGAGACCCTGAACACTTTATCTTTCACTGTCCATTTACTAAAAACTTCACTTGAATAAACCTTTAGATCAACACAGGCCAAAATGGGCTGAAATTGATATTAAAAAACTCTAGTGAGAGTAAGAA